GTGTGTCCTTGGGGAGCACTATAACCCTCGCCCATCGCAAATGTATTGAATATAAAAGTACCTAAGTAGATAGTTCTTAGAATAACATACAGTACGTTACGAGTGTCTATAGAAAATACATACATAGGGGTAGTAGGAGATCAAGTTTTTTTTTTGTCGAACAGGGGAGTGGGATTTGGAATACTTTCTCTCATGTAAACGAATAATAACCACGAATTACGAGACATCGTGTACATTACAGGGAGAGAAATAGATGTGCCAGAAAATATCGACATAACATTTGGATTTTCCCTACCCCTATATATCTTTTTTTCCTCTTTTCCCTATAAGGGTGTCAAGAGTAAATAGTAAAATGACATATCAAATAGCTTTCGTTTACTAAATTTGATCACGTTTTATTTTATCGATACACTTCCATTCGAAAAGTCATTTTTTTATCATTGCAACACGACGAATTGTAGTTTAAAAGATCCTAGAGGATAGATATACACAGGGCTCGAACCAGTGAAAGTATTTAAAAATGCGAACTTTACGGAACAAAAATGAAAAATTACGGACCAATTACTGACAAAAATATAACCAGTCCGAGTCAAAAAAAAAAAAAGAAAATTTTATACTTAAAAATATAAATTAAATTTCATTTCAAAAATTTTTAAATAAAATTCTTCTTTAAATCGAATTATTTTTAATAATTTTCGAAAAAGTTCTTTAACAATTTTCAAATCCATTTGTTTACATTATTCAATTTTACGAAACGTTAATTATTTGTAAATTCTCCAATTAAATACATATTAGAAAATAAAACCTTCAAATAATATTTAAAAAATTCAATTAAACTGTTTTAAAAAAATTAATTTCAAAATTCAATTATTTCTCAAAATTCACGCTACATTGCTTTTAATATTCAATTATTATCTAAAATTTTAACTAAAATTCATGTTTAAATAAATTTTTATCAGAAAATTATGTTAGAATTCAATTATTTAAATACAAATGATATGCAAATAAATAATTTATTGAATAATTAAATGTTTCTTAAAATTCAATTCCCATAAAAAATTTTATGAACAAATTTTTTAATAATTAAATTCTTTCGGCGAATTTTAATAAAATTTTTAAGAATAATTACATTTTTCGTGAAATTCGATTAAAATTGTATTAAAAATAATTGAAATTCTAGGATGTCTTTTATTATTTTTGTGAAAATAATTGAATCCCTACACGGAAAGAAAAAGTCCGTCAACCATTAATGGATTAGTATATTACTTTGAGACGGGACACTTTTTCCGTTGATGGTTACTTAACTTTACTTAACGATTGAAAACGAGTCATGGATTGATTAGAATGCCAGTATGTGACCAATTGTTTTAGATTTAATGCTGAATTGTTATCAATGGCTGTTTGAATGTTTACGAATCATTAGTGAAAGTTTGTGAAACGTTAGTTGACTCGTATTCTAAATCGGCGCTCTTCACTAGCGCATTGTTGCGCAGTGTACCGATGCGCATTTCTTCCGGTTTCTCTATAGTCCATGTGTTTTTGCTGTCTGCTATACATATCCCTATATACTATTATGTGTAATGTGAATATTTAACTTAACTAACAATTTGCAGTTGAATTGCGTCTAGAAATTGACCTCGATGAAAATATATTTTCTTTTATATTTCTCGCTAATTAAAAAGTAGTTATTAGTGCAAAATCATTTCTCACAAGTTGTGAAAAATTTTGTTATTTGGTATATAAGAACAGTTCGCTTCTAAACTTAAAATGTTATAAGTGTGCGTTTCTACGTGTAGTTATTATAAGTGCGAAAATGTGTTGGTCTAAAGCGTCTAAGAGTGTAAATAAAATATCGGAACTGTGCAACGAAAAAAATGTGTTCATTCTGTACCAAATAGTGTCTAAAATTAGGGATAATTCTGAAAGAAGTTGAATTTTTTGAATGCTTTTGATAGTCATAGAAAATTTAATAGACAGTTTTCTAAATTTTAGTGAACGAGTTTTATATATTGATGACAGTTTTCTAAATTTTAGCAAGCAACTCGTCTCTGATTGTGACTCAAAGTATGTTATCCATTGAATGATTTTGTGTCCCGTCTCAAAGTAATATACTAGTCTATTAATGATTGACGGACTTTTTCTTTCCGTGTAAGAAGAATTTTATTGCTCTTTTATAATATTTAATTTTTGCGAAAAATATTATTATTCTTGAAAATAATTGAATTCCTGCAATAATTTGTAACTTTTCCAAAATTCAATTTTTTTTCGTGTTTTTAAGTAAAATTCTTCTGAAAATGCATTATTTTTATAATAATTTTCGAAAACGTCATTTGAGAATTTTCAAATTTATTTGTTTACAATTCAATTTTACCAAAACTTTGGATTATTCATAAATTCTTCAATTAAATATATGTATATTAGAAAGTAAAAACTTTAAATAAATTCAAAAAAAATCCTCAAATTAAAGTTTCTCAAAAAAATGAATTCCACAGAATTGTTAGTTAAAAATATAGAAAATTAAGATTTTTAAAGATTTTAATTTGAAACCTTGTCAAAATTCAATTATTTCTTAAAATCCACGCTCTAATACTTTTAAATTCAATTATAATCTAAAATTTTAACTGAAATTCATTTTTAAATCAATGTTTATTAGAAAATTCTACCAGAATTCAATTATTTAAATTAAAAAAATAGTTACTTAAATAATTGCATGTTTCTTATAATTAAATTTTCATGAAGAATTTTATTAATAAATTTTTAAAGAATTAAATTCTTTTGACGAATTTTAATAATAAAATTTTTAAGAATAATTACATTTTTTGCAAAGAATTAGATTAAAATTGTATTAAAAATAATTGAAATTCTGCAATGAGTTTTATTAATCTCTGTAAAAAAGTTTTATTATTTATGAAAATAATTGAATTATTGCAAAGAAATTAAAAAAAAAAATTGTAAATAATTGAATTCCTGTAAAGATTTTATTTTTTATGAAAACATTTGCGTAGAATTTTATTACATTTTTTTTAAATAATTGAATTCTTTTTGTAAAGTAATTGAATTTTGGAGAAAAGTTTTATGATTTATAAAGATAATTGAAATTTTGACGAGAATTTTATTAAAATTTTTAAAAATAATTGAAATTTTGCAAAGACTTTTATTAAAATTTTGGAAAATAATTAAATTTCGAACAATATTTTTCTTATTTATGAAGATAATTGAAATTTGGAAGAACATGTAATTAAAATTTTTGAAAATAATTGAAATTTTGACAAAAATCTTATTAAAATTTTTTTGAGTAATTGAATTTCGGAAAAGCGTTTTATTATTTATAAAGATAATTGAAGAAACAATTTTTTAATTTTTGAAAATAATTGAAATTGAGACAAGAATTTTTTAAAAAAATTTTTAAATAATTGAATTACGGAGTAGTGTTATTATAAAAATTTTATTTATTTATAAAGATAATTGAAATTTTGACTAGATTTTGGAGATAAGTTTTATTATTTCTAAAGATAATTGAAATTTTGACGAGAATTTTTAAAAAAATTTTGATCAAAATTGAATTTCTGCAAAGAATTTTATTATTTTTGAAAATAATTGAATTTCTACAATAATTTGTAATTTCTCTAAAATTCTCCAAATTATATCGTAGAATTTATAAACTTTCCGTCTTTTCTCAATCAAATTACGGACTTCAAGCAAATTTACGGACCTAGTTCGAGCCCTGATATACAAAAAAGTGTACGTATGAAACAAACGGTGGGTAAAAATACACCTAATCGACACCTAGGTGATGGGTGTCACCTACTGTCTAGATTGTAGGAATATTTAGAGAAAATAGATGTAAAACGTGAGTTTATGGATATGCCCGTTGGGTCTGTAAATTATTGTCGCTGCTTTTACGATCGAGCATACGGTTTCGTGACAGTATATTGATAAGTGTCATCTGTTACTCGAGGGGGTTTATGGCAATTTGAAACATTTTAATTGCAGATTAAACACAGAAGCGCCGCTATTGTGGAGTAATTATTCTACATAATCTCCCGCTGACCACTCAGAGAGATCCTAAACTGTTACTATGGGGGTATTCCATTCCCAGTGATATGAGTTACAGTATACGTTATTATTCGTTTAGCGAAAAAAAAAATTTTAATTTCCTCACGATAAATAAACATTTGGAAAAATGTAATTTTCATAACAGGGAAGAAAAATGTATGAAGTAACTTTTAATATTTACAAAAAAGTAAATAAAACCTAAAGGGTCTCATCAAACTAATTTCACTAATTTCACAATTAAAAGAATGTTTCCAAACTGGGTCAAAATTTAAAACTGCGCATGAAAAATGTAAGCTTTGGCTGCTCTATAGTTTAATACATTTCCGGAAATATTAACATAAATTTATTAATTAGGAAAAATTAAGAAAACTATTTAGAAAATTTTATAAGAATTAGAACTATTTAAAAAAGTTTTTCTTTTCTATATTGTATCAATTTCTTCTCTAATTAAAGAAAAAATAAGAATATTCTCAAAGCAGGGAAAGGCTTTAATAAGAAAAATTGAATTAAATCGACTCACCGAATGATGAATCCCACTTTGGTTGATGGATGTCATATGCCAAGTATTTCTCAATAAAAGAAATACTGATTTTTAATGATTCTCCAATTACTTATAGGATAATTATATTCATATTACTCAATATATAATAAATTCTCCATCTCAAAAACGCATTGTTAATCCAATTTTACAGAAATTATTTTTCCTCTTTTATATCCTTCTTTATGTTTATTTTATATTTTTGGAGTGAATAACTGAAACATAAACAATTAAGAAATTAATATAAACTTAACTACTAATAAATGCATTAATAATTAATTTCATTATTAATTAATTTTCAAATGACAATTAGATTTGGTCGATGCTTGAAAAATTCTATAATAAATATAAACAAACAGAAAAAGAGAAATTTACATACCTATAACAATTTTTTTCCGAAGAAAATATAAGACAATCTCCAAACAATGGCAACATAACCTTAAAATCTCGAAATAATGTAAAACACCCGATTTGTAGTTAATTGTACACCAGATTGTTTTTAAATATCGATGATAATACTTTGGTCTTGAAATTCATGTCATAAGGGAGTTTGTATAATCCCCATTTTTTATGACAACCGAAAATCAGCATCATCACAATACTTGAAAATAGTATTTTTAATTGTTTCTACTTATATTGCTCTATTGAAATTCTGAAACAAATGAAAAAAATTCACAAACGTAAATACCAAGAATGGAGCAAATTTCACATAACCTACAAATCTTGATAAACATTATCACATATTTACGAAATTTCTTTTCTATTTTCATTATTACTTTTAGAAAATATTGATTCGATAAGCAAATATAATCTCAATTATGTAAAGATCTTGCTAATAATCGATAATATATGCCCGATTCAAGAAAATTTGATTTTGGATTCTGACCATTCTGACAAAAATTGACATTTTCTTTTTTCCAAAAATATTGACTTTTTTCATTTTTTCTCGGAAACTTTTACAATATATCAATTATTAACGTTAAGGAAAAGTTATTTACCGTAAAATATTCATAATATTTGTTAGGATTAACACCAAATGAGAAGATTAAAAATTTTCCAAACACACGTCAATCTTTCTTGTGTGGACGCCATGACAGTGAATTGGCGTGCAGTGTGAAGGTAGCAGCAGTGCCGAGAGAAAGGCGCGTTCACATGAACACAGTGGGGGAAAAACAGGCGCGAAAATTCAAATTTCACTTAAAACATTACTTATGTATTTAATAGATAAATAAAACAATTTCTATTAATAATAGTTTGCAGAATGCAACAATTTAAAATTGCAATTATTTTTGTGTTAAAATCAACTAATTAAAGACTTATATAGTATTAATTAATACTGAAGAGTTAATTAATAATAACAATGTATTAATTAATACTATTAAAGTGTTAATTATTAATATAAATAATTTTTTAAATAAATAGCATAATTTATAATTCTAAATTTGCAATATTTATTGAAAAAATTATTAAAATAAAAACTTCCTAATAAATTTTTAACACAATTGTGTTAAAAAAAGCACTGAAATTGATATATAAAATTATTTTTTTGACAATTAATAATTGTTATTTATTTATTAATTTTTTATTATATTTTATTATTTATTAATAATTAATTATTTTAAAAAAGTTAGTTTTGTATGTAATAGCAGAATTTAACAATTTTAATTATTAATTACTTCATGTAAAAATTACCGAATTAACAACTTTTAATATTAAAAGTAATTTGGTAATTTTAAATTAATAATTTTATCATTTCTCTTTAATTATTTATATAAATGTTTTAAAACATGAAAATTTACCAATATTTATTTCATTTTTATAACTTAATATTTAAGAATTATCTAATTGTTAAAAAAATAATTTTTCTATACTATTGTAATGAATTAACTATTAATTAATTAAAGTAATAATTCATTAAATTAACTGAATAACTGAAATTTTGAATTATTTTTTGCTGAAATTAACAAATTTTCAATTTTTAATAAATTTTTGAATTTTAAATAAAAAATTAATTTTGTTTTATAATTGTAAATTAAACGGTGGAAAAATATTATCAAAAATCAGTTATTAAATTTTTTCTAACATTTAATACTTAAAGTATTAAATGTTATAATAAATTTCATAAATAATAATAAAAATAAATAAATTTAAATAAATTAATTGCATTAGTTAATCAATTAAATAAGATTTAAAAAAGAAATTTCTTACTGAACAGGAAATGATTATCTTTTCATAAAACAATAATTAGGACTTTTCTAATGTTTTAAAAATTGTTATCAATTAATTATTTATCAATCATATTAATGTTAGCTGATTGTTAAATTTCAATTAATTTCTTCGAAATGCATTTAATTGAAAATTTCCGAATAACGACTATTAGCCTATAAACAATTGGCGTTTATGACCATAATATTGAAGGGAAAAGATTTCTATAATGATTTGGAAATTTCAAATTAAAGATTCTTAAATTTTGTAAACCTTTAAACGAAAAAAAAATGCACTCAGAAAAAAGTAAAATATCAACTAAATTCACTACTTTTTTAGAGACTGACTTTTTTTTTATTCATTTACAAAAATATTTATTCTTTTTTATTTAATTTCATGATTAAGCAAATGTTTACTTAATTTATTTTTTTTATTCATTTAAAATTAAACTGGCATTCAATTTATTTAAATTTAATTTAATCAATTAAATGAGTAACAAAATTAATAATGTTAATTTCATTTTCTTTAAAATAATTAAATTAAATCTGGAAAACTTTTTTGTATTAAAAAAAAAAATTTTTAATAAACTTATTTATTGAGTCTTAAAAACCTTTGATTTATAAATAAATCGTTAAAGAATTTAGTAAAATAATTTTGTTTTGTTGATATTTATGATTTTTTTTCTGAGTGTTTTTTGTTTTATTTATGTTTTCAATTGTTACTTACTTTGATATTTTTATAGTATTTTAATTTCTGAATCAAGTCAAAGAACTTAATCTTTTCGGATTCTGGATGGTTAACAATGGAATCACTGTTCTCTGGAATCTGCTGTACTTAAACTTCAGTCTGAAAATGAAAGATTGTAAAATTATTTATTTATTATAATTAAGAATAAATTTTGTAGAAAAAATAATTTTAGGCATAAATAATAATAAATTAAAAATTACATATTACTGCACCTATTTTTTGGAGAAAATTTTCCATCTTGACATTAACTAAAAGGCTTTTAATTGTAAGATTGTCACTTCATTATGGCAACAATAATTTTGCAGAAGCACACGTCCATGGAAGATTGTTTTTAATGGTTTTTTGTCTTCACTCTATTTAATTACTGTAACAGATAAAAAAATTTTATAAATATTACAAATTCAAGCATAATGTTTATAAACAATAGCACACAATTTAACAATTATGAATTACAAAAATATTTTTTTAGATTAATTAAACAACAATTATTATTTCAGTGTTAATTGCAAAATAAGAACTTTTAAATATACCAGTCAGCAGAAATTAACAATTCCAAATTTGAATAAATTTTTGTTTAAATTGACAAATTAGATACTTCTAATTAACTTTTTAGCTCAGTTGGGTTAAAAAAATTTAACTGATATTAATTTATCGAAATTAATTTCATTTTAATTACTTGAAATATTTAATTTATTTCAATTATTTTTCTTTTTAAATACTTATGAACTATTTGTTACAATAAATTTTATATATAAAAGCAGAATAATAATAGAATATAAGAATTCATAATTATTAAAACAAAAATAATTAAATTAAATTACTTAATTTGTTTCAATTATTTTTGTTTTAATAACTATGAGTTGTTAGTTAAAAAATTATTTTTATAAACAATAGCAGAGTCTAATGATTCCAATTTTTAATTATTTTATTCCAAAACTAATAAGTTAATTACTTTTGGTAAATTTTTAAAAACAGAAAACTTTACAAAAATTGAATTCTTTTTTATATTTAAATAATTATTCTTTTTATCCTTCAGTATTAACTTAATAACTTTTTAATACTGAAATATTCATTGTTAAAAAATAATTTTTATAATTAACATTTATCGAAATTTAACAATTTTAATAAATAATTATTTGTTACAAAAACTAAACATTTATACACTTAGTAAAATGTTAATCTGCTAAATGCACTATTATTTTGTGTAGAATAAATTTTTTAAATTCTTTTACAAAAGATCAAAGTTCTTCTTTTAATTAATTCACTAATGAAACGATTATTTGTTTTAATTTTTTGCATTCATTTAAAATTCAACTAAAATTCAATATATCATTTAGTGTTATTAAAGAAAACTGTAAAAAATTATAATTCTTTTCTATTTAAAATTATTATATTGAAAATCAATTTTTTGTGTTGGAAAAGAATTTTATATAAACTAAATTATTGAGTCTAATAAATAGATTAAATATTTGGTAAGTTAACTCGAAATTTTGTTGATATTTATAAATTTTTTCTGTATGTATTTAATTGATTTTTGTAATGAATACCTTCTGCGATACGGTGAAAGTACATTTTTTTCTAAAGTACGTTTTGAAACTTCGGCATTTGCTGATTCTGGGTTGTTAACTGTTATCCTGTTGTGTTAACTGTTCCCTGGAAACTATTGTACTTCAACTTCCGTCTAAAAATTAAAAATATGTTTAAAATTATATTTTTATAAATTTTATACTCTAGAATAAATTTTTCTTAAAAAATAAATATATAAGTATTTACAAAAAAAAAGGAAATAGAATGCAAATTTACATAATTCTGCATCAATTTTTGAAGGAAATCTCCAAACATGACATTACCTATTACATATTGTCGCATTTGTTGCAAAGTGGTTTTTATTCTGGTAACTCAATGTTTGCTGGATCACACCTTCTCGAAAGAATTCGCAAATATATTATTCATTTACTCACTTATTTTCAACCCTTTTTTCAAAATTACTTATCTAATTGCAAAAGTTTAGATAATTTTTACTTACAAAAAACAAAGAGCTTTGACACGAACTTTAGAAAATGGTTTGCATTATATTTCGAAATTCAGGTCATTCACCCGATATATGTATGTTACTTTGTAGTTTATGTAAAACAATAAATAATTCCATTTATTACTTTATTTACTTTAAAATGATACTATTTGTCGCATTGTAATGAAGGATTCTTACGATTGTCACTACCGTTAATACAGTATGTGAAATGACTTAGAAAAAAAGGCTTTGGAAATGCACATATTTACGAAAATTTTTTTTTCTATTTTCATTATTACTTTTAGAAAATATTGATTCGATAGGCATATATAATTTCAATTATGTAAAGATCTTGAAATTGAATTAAATTCAGAATTGAAATTCTGAAACAAATGAAAAAAATTCACAAACGTAAATAAAGAGTAAATATCAAGAATGGAGCAAATTTCACATAACCTACAAATCTTGATAAACCTTATCACATTTTTACGAAACTTTTTTTTCTATTTTCATTATTACTTTTAGAAAATATTGATTCAATAGGCATATATAATCTCAATTATGTAAAGATCTTGATAATAATCGATAATATATGCCTGATTCAAGAAAATTTGATTCTGGATTCTGAACATTCCGACAAAAATTGACATTTTCTATTTTCCAAAAATATTGAAATTTTTCATTTTTTCTCGGAAACTTTTACAATATATCAATTATTAACGTTAAGGAAAAGTTAATTACCGTAAAATATTCATAATATTTGTTAGGATTAACACTAAATGAGAAGATTAAAAATTTTCCAAACACACGTCAATCTTTCTTGTGTGGACGCCATGACAGTGAATTGGCGTGCAGTGTGAAGGTAGCAGCAGTGCCTAGAGAAAGGCGCGTTCACATGAACACAGTGGGGGGATAACAGGCGCGAAAATTCAAATTTCACTTAACCCCTTCACAGTCGAGTGAAAATAAAGGGGGCGCATGATTATTCCCCAAATGTCATTTTTGCGAAATGTCATTTTTGCGAACTGCACTTTTGCGAAAAGTCATTTTTCCGAAATGTCATTTTTGCGAAATGTCATTTTTGCGAAAAGTCATTTTTACGAAAAGTCATTTTTACGAATTGTCATTTTTGCGAAAAGCCATTCTTGCGAAATGTCATTTTTGCGAAAAGTCATTTTTACGAAAAGTCATTTTTACGAATTGTCATTTTTGCGAAAAGCCATTCTTGCGAAATGTCATTTTTGCGAAAAGCCGTTTTTGCGAAATGTCATTTTTGCGAAATGTCATTTTTACGAAAAGTCATATCAGCGAAAAGCAAATTTTGCGAAATGTCATTTTTACGAATTGTCATTTTTGCGAAATGTCACTTTTGCGAATCGCCATTTTTACGAATTGTCACTTTTGCGAATCGACATTTTTACGAAATGTCATTTTTACGAATTGTAATTTTTTCGAAATATCATTTTTGCGAAAAGTAATTTTTGCGAAATGTCATTTTTACGAAAAGTTATTTTTGCGACAAGTCATTTTTGCGAAATGGCATTTTTACGAATTGTCATTGTTGCGAAAAGCCGTTTTTGCGAAATGTCATTTTTGCGAAATGTCATTTTTACGAAAAGCTATTTTTGCGAAATGTCATTTTTGCGAAATGTCATTTTTACGAATTGTCATTTTTGCGAAAAGTCATTTTTACGAAATGTCATTTTTGCGAAAAGTCAATTTTGCCAAATGTCATTTTTACGAATTGTCATTTTTGCGAAAAATACAATAGTGAATCTATATATACTACTAGTTTACTATTGTATTTTTCGCAAAAATGACATTTCGCAAAAGTGACAATTCGTAAAAATGACATTTCGCAAAATTGACTTTTCGCAAAAATGACATTTCGTAAAAATGACTTTTCGCAAAAATGACAATTCGTAAAAATGACATTTCGCAAAATTGACTTTTCGCTAAAATGACTTTTCGTAAAAATGGCTTTTCGCAAAAATGACATTTCGCAAAAACGGCTTTTCGCAACAATGACAATTCGTAAAAATGCCATTTCGCAAAAATGACTTTTCGCATAAATAACTTTTCGTAAAAATGACATTTCGCAAAAATGACTTTTCGCAAAAATGATATTTCGCAAAAATTACAATTCGTAAAAATGACATTTCGTAAGAATGTCGATTCGCAAAAGTGACAATTCGTAAAAATGGCGATTCGTAAAAGTGACATTTCGCAAAAATGACAATTCGTAAAAATGACATTTCGCAAAATTTGCTTTTCGCAAAAATGACTTTTCGTAAAAATGACTTTTCGCAAAAATGACAATTCGTAAAAATGACATTTCGCAAAATTGACTTTTTGCTGATATGACTTTTCGTAAAAATGACATTTCGCAAAAACGGCTTTTCGCAAAAATGACATTTCGCAAGAATGGCTTTTCGCAAAAATGACAATTCGTAAAAGTGACTTTTCGTAAAAATGACTTTTCGCAAAAATGACATTTCGCAAAAATGACATTTCGGAAAAATGACATTTCGCAAAAGTGCAGTTCGCAAAAATGACATTTCGCAAAATTGACATTTGGGGAATAATCATGCGCCCCAAAATAAAGTTTTTGTGCCATAAGTGTTCAAAAAAAATTTTTTTTTTAAAAATCATGATATTGTCATATTATATGTTTTTGAGGTCACTGATTCAAAATCCGTGGTCGAAAAGCCAAAATTCAAAATAGCGGCTTCAAAATATCCACCAAAAAAAATTAAAAAGTTAACGAATTCGTTAACTTAAAAATTTTTTTTTAGCTTTTTTAAAGCAGCCATTTTAAATCTTGAATTTTTGACCACGGATTTGGAATCAGCGACCTAGAAAACTCCCGAGTAGGCATTTTAAGGTATTTTTAGACAGATTCGTTAACTTAAAAATTTTTTTTGGGCACCATTTTGAAGCCGCCATTTTGAATTTTGAATTTTCGACAACGGATTTGGATTCAGCGACCCCGAAAACCCCCGAGTAAGGATTTTTAGCCATATTCGTTAACTTTTAAATGTCTTTTTTTTCGATGGCCCTATAGAGCCCATGGACATACAGGGCACGACATTTTTATGGCTCTATAGAGCCCACTGACAGTGAAGGGGTTAAAACATTACTTATGTATTTAATAGATAAATAAAACAATTTCTATTAATAATAGTTTGCAGAATGCAACAATTAAAAATTGCAATTATTTTTTGTTAAAATCAACTAATTAAAGACTTATATTGTATTAATTAATACTGAAGTGTTAATTAATAATTACAATGTATTAATTAATACTAAAGTGTTAATTATTAATATAAATAATTTTTTAAATAAATAGCATAATTTATAATTCTAAATTTGCAATATTTATTGAAAAAATTAATAAAATGAAAACTTTTTAATAAATTTTTAACACAATTGTGTTAAAAAATTCACTGAATAATTGATATATATAAAATTATTTTTTGACAATTAATAATTGTTATTCGCATTTATTAATATTTTATTATATTTTATTATTTATTAATAATTAATTATTGAAAAAGTTAATTTTGTAAATAATAGCCGAATTTAACAATTTTAATTATCAATTATTTTATGTAAAAATTACCGAATTAACGACTTTTAATATTAAAAGTAATTCGGTAATTTTTAATTAATTATTTAATTTTTTTAAAATTATTTATATAAATGTTTTAAAACATACAAATTGAGTAATATTTATTTCATTTTTGTAACTTAATATTTAAGAATGATCTAATTGTTAAAAAATAATTTTTCTATATTATTGTTATTAATTAACTATTAATTAATTGAAGTGATAATTAATTAAAAATTAACTGAATAATTCAAATTTTGAATTACTGAATAAAATTAACAAATATTGAATTTTTAATAAATTTTTGAATTTAAATGAAAAATTACTTCTGTTTATAATTGTAAATTAAAAATGAAATTATGGAAAAAATTTTACTGAAATTCAGTTATTAAATTTTTTCTAACATTAATACTTGAAGTATTAACTGTTAAAATAAATTTTATAAATACTAACAAAAATAAATAAATTTAAATTAATTAATTGAATTAGTTAATCAATTAATTTAGAAATAAGTAAGAAATTTTTTACTGTCTGGAAATGATTATCATTTTATAGAAAATAATTGGGACTTCTCTAATGTTTGTAAAATTGTTATTAATTAATTATTTTTCAACCATATTAATGTTTTTGCTGATTGTTAAATGTCAATTAATCTTTTCGGAATGCATTTAATTGGAAATTGTCGAATGACTAGTAGCCAATAAACAATTGGCGTTTATATAATGACTTGAAAATTTCCAATAATGATTCCTAAATTTTGTAAACCTTTAAACGAAAAAACATATTTGCACTCAGAAAAAAGTAAAATAGCAACTAAATACAACTAAATACTACTTTTTAGGAAACTGAATTTGTTTTTATTCATTTACAAAAATATTTATTCTTTTTTATTTAATTTCATGATTAAGCAAATGTTTACTTAATTTAATTTTTTTTATATTCATTTAAAATTAAACTGGCATTCAATTTATTTAAATTTAATTTAATCGAATGAATTACTAACAGAATTAATAAAGAACTATAATTTTATTTTATTTAAAATAATTAAATTGAATCTGGAAAACTTTTCAGTATTAAAAAAATTAATTTTTAATAAACTTAATTATTGAGTCTTAAAAACCTTTGATTTATAAATAAATCGATAAAGAATTTAGAAAAATAAATTTGTTTTGTTGATATTTATGATTTTTTTCTGAGTGTTTTTTGTTTTATTTATGTTTTCAATTGTTACCTCTACTTTGATATTTTGATAGTATTTTAATTTCTGAATCAAGTCAAAGAACTTAATCTTTTCGGATTCTGGATGGTTAACAATGGAATCACTGTTCTCTGGAATCTGCTGTACTTAAACTTCAGTCTGAAAATGAAAGATTGTAAAATTATTTATTTATTATAATTAAGAATAAATTTTATAGAAAAAATAATTTTAGGCATAAATAATAATGAATTAAAAATTACGTAATCCTGCACCTATTTTTTGGAGAAAATTTTCCGTCTTGACGTTAATAGGCTTTTAATTGTAAGATTGTCACTTCATTATGACAACGAAAATTTTGTAGAATCACACGTTCGTAAAAGAATGTTTTTAATGGTTTTTTGTCTTTGCTCTATTGAATTACTGAAACAGATAAGAAAAATTTTACAGATATTACAAATTCAAATACAAAGTTTATAAACAATAGCTAGCGCACAATTTAACAATTCTAAATTAGAAATACGTTTTTAGATTAACTAATCTGCGATTCTTGTTAAAGTTTTAAGCACAATAGTGTTAAAAAGTTTACTAAAATGATTTTGTTCAATAATTAATACTTAAGTGTTAATTGAAATAAATAAATTTTATATATAATAGTCAGCGGAGATTAACAACTTTTCTAATTTGAATAATTTTTTATTAAAATTGACGAATTAGATACTTCTTAGTAAATTTTTTGGTCCATTTGGGTTAAAAATTTAACTGAAATTAATTTATCAAAATTATATTCTTTTTAATTTATTTAATTTAATTATTTAATTTATTTCAATTATTTTTGTTTTAATAGTTATGAATTATTTGTTAAATTAAATTTTATAAATAATAATAGAATATAAGAATTCATAATTATTAAAACAAAAATAATTAAATTAAATTACTTAACTTGTTTCAATTATTTTTTTTAATAACTATGAATTGTTAGTTAAAAAATTATTTTTATAAACAATAGCAGAGTCTAATAATTCCAATTTTTAATTATTTTATTCCAAAACTAATAAGTTAATTACTTTTGGTAAATTTTTAAAAACAGAAAACTTTACAAAAATTGAATGCTTTTTTATATTTAAATAATTATTCTTTTTATCCTTCAGTATTAACTTAATAACTTTTTAATACTGAAATATTCATTGTTAAAAAATAATTTTTATAATTAACATTTATCGAAATTTAACAATTTTAATAAATAATTATTTGTTACAAAAACTAAACATTTATACACTTAGTAAAATGTTAATCTGCTAAATGCACTATTATTTTGTGTAGAATAAATTTTTTAAATTCTTTTACAAAAGATCAAAGTTCTTCTTTTAATTAATTCACTAATGAAACGATTATTTTTTTTAATTTTTTGCATTCATTTAAAATTAGACTGAAATTCAATATATCATTTAGTGTTATTAAAGAAAACTGTAAAAAATTATAATTCTTTTCTATTTAAAATTATTATATTGAAAATCAATTTTTTGTGTTGGAAAAGAATTTTATATAAACTAAATTATTGAGTCCAATAAATAGATTAAATATTTGGTAAATTAACTCGAAATTTTGTTGATATTTATAAATTTTTTCTGAGTGGATTTAATTGATTTTTGTAATGAATACTTTCTTCGATACGGTGAAATTACATTTTTCTTTCTAAAGTACATACGTTTTGAAACCAGCATTTGCTGATTCTGGGTTGTTAACTGTTATCCTGTTGTGTTAACTGTTCCCTGGAAACTATTGTACTTCATCTTCCGTCTAAAAATTAAAAATATGTTTAAAATTATTTTTTTATAAATTTTATACTCTAGAATAAATTTTGCATAAAAAATAAATATAAGTATTTGCAAAAAAAGGAAATAAAATACAAATTTACATAATTCGGCATCAATTTTTGAAGGAAATCTCCAAACATGACATTACCTATTACATATTGTCGCATTTGTTGCAAAGTTGTTTTTTTTCTGGTAACTGAATGTTTGCAGGATCACACCTTCTCGAAAGAATTTTTTTGTTTCCCGTATATTGTTATATTGAATTTCTGTAACAAAAACAAAAAATTTTATTACTGTCTCCAAAATACGTTAAATAGTACCGAATTTCGCGAAAAATGTCACTTAACCTAAAATTTTCGTGTCTTTACAGTCTTTACAGGAAATACGCAAATATATTATTTATTCAGTCAGTAATTTTAAATAATTTTCTCATAATTACTTATAAATTACTCAATTTCTAGAAACGGAGTAATTCATACTCACCAAAACAAAGGACTTTGCCTTCGTGATCTGAAATTTATCCTCCAACTTTTGATAACTATTATGTCGACATTTAAAAAATTCGTGAAAAATATTCATCGTTTAGTATATTGTTTTTATATTTTTTTCTCAAAAGTGCATATTCTTTTTTTATAAATATCAATTTATACTCATAACAACAACAAAGTGCTTCCTGCGCATAGCCCGACAAAATTTTGTATTTCAGGTCATTCACCTTATCTTTCAACAACTTGCAGGTCTTTCAGGAAAACATTTTCGTTTTTTTCACTGCTCTTGTAGTACAAATTATTCACTTTAATTCAATTTAATGAAAGATTCTTCCGATTTTTCAAAACTTTTGTACAGATTCTAGAAAAAAATGTCGGACGTGAGAAGAAACTTGTCGCCTGAATGTAGGCGAATGTAGCTTAAAGGTGGGTTTTCATGAATGGAGTGGGGGAAAAGCAGGGTTGGATGCTTAAGAATTTTGGACAAATATCTTAACACTTGAGAAAAAACTTTAAATATAACATTAAATATTTTAATTGATACAAAACTTTTTATTTATACTTTATTTATTATGAAAATATTAAATATGTTACAGATAACTGTATATATATGGTGTTTTTCCGTTCAGGTAATGCGCAACTGAAATTACCATAAAAAATGCGCAGAACCTAACCGGAAGTGCATCATATATGCAGAAAACTGCATATTATTATCAAATTTAAAAAAAATGCAACTTTTTTTAAAAATATTTTGTTAACACACTACTTCATGTTGTTAACAAATGCTAATTTGACCTAACCTCAAATTCGTGATAAACTCTCAGTGGTGATACAAACAATTCGACAACAAATTTATATGATTATTCATCTATTTTCATGCATTTTCTAAAAAATGTTCATTGCATTTATAAGAAAGGCAATTTATACTTACTAGAACAAAGTTCTTTCACTATCCGAAGCATATCCCGACTAAATTTTGTAGGTTATTCATCTCAGTATTGTGAACTGCAGGTCCTGCAATTATACATTTACGTCTTTTTCATTTCTCTAGTAGTAGAAAATTATTAAATTTGATGCAATTTAATTAAAGATGCTTCTGACTTTCCAAAAGTTTTGTACTCACTTTCATAAAATGTCTGCCGTAAAGTGTCGCCATCTTGTCGCCTGAATGTGGCCGAATGCAGTTCGAGGGTGGGTTTACATAAAAAAAGTGGGGGTATGTCAGGGTTGGGTGTTTAAAATTTTCTAATAAAACAAATTCGTCAAACACCCAACCCTGCTATTCCCCCACTCCATTCATGGAAACCCACCTTTAAGCTACATTCGCCCACATTCAGGCGACAATTCTTCTCATATCAGACATTTTTTCTAGATATTTACAAAGTTTTTTTAAAATTAGAAGAATCTTTCATTAGATTGCATCAAAATGTATAATTTTCGACAACTAGAGCAAGGAAAAAGGGAAAATTATTTTCCTAAAAGACCTGCAAGTTCACAATCACGGGATGAACGACCAGAATCTCAAAATGACAAAAGGACTTCAGATTCTCCAGTCAAAGCAACTATTCTGTTTTGGTAAGTATAAACTGCTTATTTTCTATTATTACAATAAATATTTTCAAGAAAATATACAAAGTCAATTGATTAAATGAATATTTTATTAGCAAAATGTTTTTACCTACACTAAGGTTAGAGTTTATTGAGAATTTCTAGTCAATCAAAAATTGCTTTTACTAACGAAATATTACTATAAAAAGTTTAATTTTTTTGAAATTTGATAATAATTTAATGTATTTTTAATATAAATAATATGTTTTTTGAGATTGATGATAAAATATTTAATTTATTAATTATTATTTACGCTTAAGTTTAACAAAATTCCTTATGCACCCAACCCTGCTATTCCCCCACTCCATTCATGGAAACCCACCTTTAAGTCACATTCGGCCAGGCGATAAGTTTCTTTCTCACGCCAGACATTTTTTCTAGATAATCACTAAATTTTGAGAAAATTAGAAGAATCTTTTATCAAATTGCATCAAAATGAATAATTTTCAAGTACGATAGCAAGGAAAAAGGCGAAAACATTTTCCTAAAAAGCCTGCAAGTTCACAATCACGGAATGAATGACCAGAATCTCAAAACGCCAGAAGAACTTCAGATTCTGTTGCCAAAGCACTGTTTTGGTGGTTTTGTAAGTTTATTTTTTATCATTACAATAAATATTTGCAAGAAAATATACAAAATTAATTATTTAAATGAATATTTTGTTGGCAAAATGTTTTTGCCTACACTAAGTTTAGAGTTTATTTAGAATTTCTGATTAAACAAAAATTGCTTTTATTAACGAAATATTACTATAAAAACTTTAATTTTTTTGAAATTTGATAATAATTTAATGTATTTTCAATATAAATAATATGTTTTTTGAGATTGATGATAAAATATTTAATTTATTAATTATTATTTACGCTTAAGTTTAACAAAATTCCTTATGCACCCAACCCTGCTATTCCCCCACTCCATTCATGGAAACCCACCTTTAAGTCACATTCGGCCACCTTCAGACGACTAGTTTCTTTGTCAATTGTCAACTATTTATTTTTCTTTCCGTACAAGTTTCTTGACAATCGTAAGAATCTTTCATTTAAAGTGCATTATAATGAATAATCTTGAAGTGAAAATGCAATAAAAGAAAATAATTCTTGTTTTACAAAGTCTACAATTTCACAAATATAAGTTGAATGACCTAAATTCTAAAATACAATTCGGATGAACTTCAGATGTTTCTATTGTTATTCTTTCCTCTGGTAAAATATTTCTTTAACAATAGCGTAAATATTGTTGAGAAAAGGAAAAAAAATGACTAAATGAATAATATGTCAGTAAACTTTGTGTTTAAAGACAGTAAGAGTAATGTTTATCATAAATTTTTGAGGTTAAGCAGAAATCGCATATTATACTGCTTTTGTGCCTATAAATTTATCTTTCATTTGTTTTAGGAATCCCATAAAGCAGAAAACACGCAACAATGAAAAAAGTCCGTCAAAGTGGTGTGATAATGCAAATTACCTGCTGCCATAAACGAGCGTCACGTTTACAACCTGCAGTCAATGGTCAATGTCACGTTGGAAAATTTACTTGAAAAAAAGTTGATGCAGATTATGTAAATTTGTAATTTATCTCCTTCTTTCTTATATGCATGCTTATATTTCTTTATTATATATAATTTATTCAAGCATATAAAAATGAAAACAAAATAATTTTGTACATTATACCTTTAATTTTTAGACTGAAGTTTAAGCACAGCAGGTTCCAGGGAATAGTGATTCCAGTTAACCACCCAGAATCAGCGAAAGATGAAATTCCGAGACCTGATGCTTCAGAAAGTAACATACTTTCATCTTTTGGAATAATAGGTACAAAACATTTTTATTTAATTTGAATTAAAATTAAATTTATTGAGTATGAATCAGAATAAAACATAAAATACACTCATTAAAAATTCATAAATATTAACAAAACATTTTAATTTAATTTGAATTAAAATTAAATTTATTAAATATGAATCAGAATAAAACATGAAATACACTCATTAAAAATTCATAAATATTAACAAAACATTTATTTTTAATTAATTTTTAAATTATATAAAATAATATTTGGTAAATAAAATTTAAATTAAAAAAAGTAATAAAAATTTTGTCGTTCATACGAACGTTCGAAACTTTAGGGACATATTTAAAATAAAACAAAAGAAACAAATTTTTCTCAATTCTATTTTAACATTTTTAAAATTAAATTAAATTTTAACAATTTTAAAATTAAATTAAATTTTAAATTGCATTTAAGTTGAATTTTAAATTAAAATAGAAAATTGAATAAAATAGATTCAATCTATTTAGTACTTAATAAAATAATGTGAAAAAGAATTGAAATATTTTGCAAAAAAATTAAAAAAAATTCAGTCTACACAATACAGTAGTGTATTTAGTTAATATTTAACTTTTTTCTGAGTGTAAATGTTTTTTCAATTAAACGTTTATGGTGTGAATAAAATTTCAACTGTTTATCTGCATTTTCCGAGTAACTAAAAATGTTTTCGTTTTAATTTTATAGCCGTCAACTCGAACCGTTTAGTGGTTAATAGTCCTTTTTCATCAATTTTCAGTTAAATAGATTCCGAAAAATCAATTTGAAACTTAGCAATCAGCTAACATTGGTATAGTTGATAAATAATTAATTGGTAACAATTTCTACATTACCGGAAAAGTACCACCTGATTTTTATCAAAATATAATCGTTTTTTGCCGTCTGAGAAATTTCGTAAATTATAATTAACAGAAATTATTACAAATTTGAAATTGTTGAATTGTGCTAAATAATATATATAAATATTATTTATTTTAGCAATTAATAGACCTATAATTTCTAAATGTTAAATAATTTTCGTAAATGATATTCGGTAAAGTTTTTAACACAATTTTGTTAAAAAAATTTACCAAAAATCGATAATTCGTTAATTTTAACAAAAAATAATTCAAATTTAGAATTGTTAAATTGTGCTTAATATTATTTATAAAAATTGTTTCTTCTGGTAATTAATATTTGTTAAACAATTGTTAAACAATTTTCGTAAATGATATTTGGTAAAGTTTTTAACAGATTTGTGTTAAAAAATTTACCAAAAATCGATAATTCGTTAATTTTAACAAAAAATAATTCAAATTTGGAATTATTAAATTCTGCTAATTATAATTTACCAAAACTGTTTTTAAACAATTAATACTTGAGTATTAAGATTGAAATAATTAAAATTTGATTAATTTCTGTTAAGAAATTTACCAAAAGTAGGTAATTTGTTAATTTTTTCATACTATAATTGAAAATTGGAATTGTTAAATTCAGATAACAATTATTTATAAATATAACTAAATTTAAAAAATTATAAATTATTAATTGTTAAAAAAATAATTTTCTTAAAATTGCATTAAAGTTTTTAACACAGTTGTGTTAAAAAATTTACCAAAAATCGATAATTCGTTAATTTTAAGAAAGTAATAATTTAAATTTGGAATTATTAAATTCTGCTAAATAGGTACTATTTCTAAAAATTATTTCTTAAATAAGTAACACTTACGTGTTAAGATTGAAAAAAAATTAAATTTTGGTAAATTCGTGTTAAGAAATTAACCAAAAGTCGATAATTTGTTAATTTTGACATGAAATAACTGAAAATTGAAATTGTTACATTATACTAACAATTATTTATAAAAATAATTTAATTTAACAAATTCTAAATTATTAATTGTTAAGAAAATAATTTTTTTAAAATTGCAATAAATCTTTTAACACAATTGTCATAAAAAATTTAACAAAAAAGTCTACAATTCGTTAATTCTAACAAAAAATAATTCAAATTTTGAACTATTAAATTCTGCTAACTATTATTTAGAAAAATTATTTATTAAACAATTAATATTTAAGTATTTGTATTAGGATTAAAATAATTTAAATAATAGAATTTAACAAATTCTTAATTATTAATTGTTAAGAAAATAATTTTGTGAAAATTGCATTAAATTTTTTAATACAATTGTGATAAAAAATTTACCAAAAATATCTATAATTCGTTAATTTTTAGAAAAAATAATTCTAATTTAGGGTTGATAAATTATATTAACAATAAATTTATAAAAATAATTTATTTTAATAATTATTTTTAATCATTAATTATTAATATTTTTATTATAATTTAATTTCATGAAAACTTTTAACACAATTGTGGGGCTGTTCAAAAAATACGTAACGCAATTTTTCAGAATTTTGGACCCCCCCTCCCCCTATGTAACGCAATGTTGTATACATTAGCGCCATTTTTTCTGCTGACCGTAACAAATAGCTAGACCCCCCCTCCCCCCTAAAGCGTTACGTATTTTTTGAACGGCGCCTGTGTTAGACAATAATTATTTCAAATTCGGAATTGATAAATTGGGCTAATATTATTTATAAAAATATTTTATATTTATATTTTTATATTTTATAATTAATTAATTATTAATTGTAATTATTAATTAATAATTAGTTATTTATAATTAATTAAGAATTAATTGTTAATTGTTAATATTAATTATTAATTAACTGTTAATATTTATTAACAATTTATTGTTAATTGTCAATATTAATTAGTAATTATTTGTTAATATTTATTAATAATTAATTGCTAATATTAATTAGTAATTAATTGTTAATATTTATTAATAATTAATTGTTAATATTAATTAATAATTCATTGTTGTTTGTTAAAAAAGTAATGTTTGTAAATTAATTGCATTATATTTTTTTAATACAATTATTAAACAATTTTCCAAAAGTCATTAATTCGTTAATTTAAAAAAGTATTAAAAATGTTTAATTCTTAAATTATGCCAGCAATTATTTATAATCTTTTTAACAATTAATAATTTTTAAGAGTTAATAAATAATATTGCTAATATTTGTTCGATTTAAAACAGGCGCCCAAATTCTTGAGCACCCAACCCTGCTATTCCCCCACTTTTATCATGTGAACGCGCCTTTAGACTATTCTCACGCGTAGTTTCTTCTCTCATCCGCCATTTTTTCTAGGTCATTGCCCCCTGAGCATTAGTGCGTTAAAATGTGTTGATAATCATAAGAATCTTTTATTAAAGTACAACAAATCGTATAATTTTGCATTAATAGAGTAATAAATGTAATTAGCATTGTCCACAAGCATTGAGTGAATGATCTAATTCTAAAATACAATGCGGATAAACTTCAGATGTTCAAGTCAAAGCGCTTTGTTCTGGTGAGTACAAATCGAACAAATTACTCCATTTTTAGAAATGGAATAAGTAATTTTGAGAAAATTGTTCAAAATAAGTGTACAAATGAATAATATATTTGCGTATTTCCTTTAAAGACATAGCGAGGACAATGTTTCTCGTAAATTTTAGGTTATGTGAAATTAATACGAAATTCAGTGCTGCCTACTGTATTTTGGAGTTAGTAAAATTTTATTTATTTCTTTCAGAAATTCAATAAAGCAACTTATTTTATTTTGTTTCAGAAATTCAATAGAGCAATATACTGGAAACAATTAAAAAAAAACTCCTTCGAGGAGGTGTGATAATGCAAATTTCCTGTTGTCATAAAAAAGTTGCAATTTTACAAGCACTTGAACAGAATAAGAAAATTCAAGATTAAATGTGAAAATGTTTAAGAATTTTTGAAGATATTCATCAATTACATCCGATATTTTAAGAATCAGAATCGGAAAAAAAGTTGAAAGACAAACTTTATACGCATTTTTCATTTTTTGGTTATGTTGTCATTGGAGATTTTTTTTACATTTCCTTTGGAAAAAAATTATTAGGTATGTAAGTTACTATTCTTTTATTATTTGCTAACATTTATTATATAATTTCTCAAAAAATTTAAATTTAAATTCAAGGTTAAAAAATTAATTTTGTAAATTATATTTCTAACTTTGAGACCGAATCTAAATTATATTGTGTTTTAAACTTAATTAATTATAAAATTAATCATTAATTGCTTCCTCATAAAGAAATTATTAATAATAATAATAATAATTATTATTATTTTATTATTAATTTATTTATTAAATATCAAATAATGATAAATAAATTATTTATTATTAGTCGTAAAATTAATTATTAATTGTTCTATGTTTCAGTTTTTGGTTCGAAAAAATATATTGAATAAAAAAGGATATAAAGGAGGAAAAGTAACTTATGCACATTGGCTTTGGCATATTATTCGAAATAAAGGTTCATTTGCTGAGGAAGACGCGATGGCATGGCATCGATCGGCCAACGTGGGATTCACCGTTCGGTGAGTGGTTTGTATTATTAATTTAAAAAAAATTTTTTTGAATATTTATTAATTTAAGCCTTTCTCTGTTTTGAAATTTTCCTCATGATTTTCCTTTAACTAAAGGAAATTACACTTATATAATTTATAAATAAAAAATTATATTTTTTAACTACAGTTCTAAAATTAAGAGTCTTGCCATAAAATTTTCTCGGCTTTTCTAATTTATTCTATACAATTTATATAATTTCTATAATTTATTATATGAATTTAAAAATTTATTTTATAAAATAAAATAAATTTTCAATTGATATTTATTAATTACTGTGCTGATTTAAAAGAGTTAAAATTTTTCGAAACAGGGAAGGAAGAAAAACAAAATAGTGACGTAATTTATAAAATACACGATTTTGTATAGTAAATTTTGAATACTACATTACAATTTTCGACAAAAGTTTCTTTGTTTAATTTCGTTAAAAAATAAAATTGCAATTTAATCAAATAAAAGCAAAAAAATTTTTTTTTAATTAATCAAAGTTAATTAAAAAATTATAAAAAGTTATCAAATTTTATAACTAGATTTATTTTTGAAATTTCCTTGAATTCAATTGTTAGTAATTTCTTTAACTCACAATTTTCTTTTGTTACTTAGATTTTTATTTTACTTCTGAATAAAAATTCGAATTTTTCTCTATTCAATTCTGAAAGTAATTTTTTTAAAGGATCAGAATCGAAAGTTGCTAATTTCTTTGTTTACGATGGAAAAATGTTAAACTACAACTCATTTAAAAGAAAAATAATTTACTTTTTGAAGATTTACCAAAGTTTAGTGGTTAGTTAAGTTTAGTCTAATGGATGAGTTTTTGAACCACAACCAGGAGATAGAATTTTTATTCTCTTTGGTATATTCTGAACTGTAAACTGTTCTTCCAGTTTACATTCACAATTCTTATTTTTACGTCACTGTTTTGTTTTTTCAATTATTTTTCTATAAATTTCTTAAATATTTTGTTGTAATATATATTTATTTGAAAAAACTTATTTTTAAAAGCTGCTATAGCGCTTTTTCAAATCAAAGTGAATCTGAATATTTTTATGCACTTTTTCGTGACTTTTTTTACAACTGTTTTCGGGAATGCAATAAGGTATAGCAGACCTAGCGTAGCTCCCTTTAAATTCAAAATTTTTTTTTGATGAAAATTAGTAAAAATATTTTCTGGAATATAATAAGGTAGAGCTACCAAAGCTCCCTTTTTATATCTGAACATTTAAATTTTATATTTTATAATTCGAAACGTTTCTTCGATTATAAAAAACATATCTTTTTGACTATTTTTTTATTGTTAATTTACAATTCTCTAAAGGTAAAATTTTATACAACTGTAATTTAAATAATTTTATCCAGTCAAAAGTCAGTTTAAACTTTTATTTCTTTTTGAAGACTAGTTAAATTTGTTTCTAATTTCTCTATTATATTCAAAATTTATTATAAAGTTAAACCGATTAACAATTTAGAAGCTTGTTTTCATAATTTTAATCAACTGCTGTTAGCAGTTTTAATTTCTTTTTTCTATACTTTAAAGATAAGTTGAACTTTCTTCTCGCTTTTCTATTATATTTTCAAATTTTTGAATGATATTAAAGTTAAAACTGAATGCAATCAAAATTTCAAAGTAAATGTTTGGATAATTTTATCCTAGCTTTTGATGAATTGTTTTTCTTTCATAAAATTGAGTGATATTGAGTTCAATATTTAGGTATGTCCCGGGACGTTATTCTGAGTTTTATGCATCTTGGCTGCATGTGAGACAAGCGCCGAGCGAATATGATTTAGAGGTTTTACCCAAAACTAAGAGGTAGAATTTTTAAGCTTGTTTGATCTAGTTTCGTTCTTTAAATGAAGATCGAGGTGGGAAAATGAAAACTAGTTAAATTTTCTTTTGTTTAAAACCAATAAAAAATTTTTTGAAAAATTAATTTGGTGCCAGTTTCAGCTTCATTTTTGTTTCAATATTAACATAAAATTTTCCAAAATTATATAGGTGCCAACTGGGTACCTAATTCTTCGCAGAAATTTAATTATGTCTAAAAATTAAAAAAAAATTCTGGTCAACATTTACAATTATCTTTAGAAATAAAATTCTTTTCCAAAATAAATTTTCAAAAATTTTAATAAAATTCTTGGCAAAATTTCAATTATTTTCAAAAATTTTACTCAATTCAATGATTTTCAATATCTATATAGATACTGTTTTAATCAAATTTTTCAAAAGAATTCAATTATTTAAAAAAAATTTAATAAAATTTTACCGCAAAAATTTAATTATTTTCGTAAATAATAAAATTTTTACAGAGATTCAATTATTTTCGTACATAATAAAATTCTTTTTAGAAGCTCAATCATTTTCATAAATAATAAAACTCATTACAGAATTTCAATTATTTTCATTACAATTGTAATCAAATTCCTCGAAAAATGTAATTTATTCTTAAAAATTTTATTAAAATTCGTCAAAACAATTTAATTATTAAAAAATTTGTTGATAAAATTCTTTATTCAGAATTCAATTTTAAGAAACATTAAAATATTCAATAAATAATTTTTTTGTATTTAAATAAATGAATTCTAGTAGAATTTTCTAATAAAAATTGATTTTAAAAAGAATTTTAGTTAAACACAAATAAATTTGAAATTACTCAAATAACTTTTTCAAAAATTATTAAAAATAATGGATTTATAGAAACATTTTAATTAAAAACACTAAAAAAAATTTCATTTGAAAGAAGTAACAAATTATTGTAAAAATTGAATTACTTATTTTCAAAATTAAAAAAAATTCTTTGCAGAAATTTAAGTATGTTTAAAAATAATAAAATTCTTCTTAGGAATTCAATTATTTTCATAAATTATAAAATTATTTAAAAATTTCTTGATGAAATTATAATGAGAATTGAATTTTAAGAAACATTGAATTATTTAATAAATTATTTATTTTTGTATCTAAATAATTGAATTCTAGTAGAATTTTCTAATAAAAATTGATTTAAAAAGGAATTTTAATTAAATACAAATGAATTTGAAATTTCCCAAATAACTTTTTCAAAAATTATTAAAAATAATGGATTTATAGAAAAATTTTAATTAAAAACACTAAAAAAAATTTAATTTTGAAGAAGTAACAAATAATTGCAGAAATTCAATTGTTTTCAAAAGTTAAAAAAATTCTTTGCAGAAATTTAAGTATGCTCAAGAATAATAAAATTCTTCTCAGGAATTCAATTATTTTCATAAATAATAAAATTATTTAAAAATTTGTTGATTAAATTATTTATGAGAATTGAATTTTAAGAAACATTGTAACAATATTTTTGTATTTAAATAATTGAATTCTATTAGGATTTTCTAATAAAAATTGATTTAAAAATGAATTTTATCTAAAATTTCTAAAAATTTCTTTTTCTAATAGAAGTAATTTTCAAAAATTTTTTTTTAACAATACTTGAAATTTTGTTAAAAAATTATAATAAAAAATAGAAATTATGCAAACTATTTAACAAAATTTTAAAATAATCTAGTTAAAAATCGTAATTAACAAATAGAAATTATAGGGATTTGTTTTCTAAAGATATTTAAAATTTTTTCAAAGAATGTTTTATAAATAAATTAATTTTTGAAATTAATCGGGGAATCGGCTTCGTGGAAATGGTCATCGGGGAATTTGCATTCGGGGAAATATCAATTCGGGGGATTGTATTCGGGGAAATGACCGGGAATCAAATTTTGGTATAAAAATGATGCAAATTATTTTTTTTTAAAATGAACAGAATTTTGTTAACAAATTGTGATAAGAAATAGTAATTTTATAAAAAATTTTCTTAATCTTAATTTTTTAACAATTTTCTAACTTTTATCAAAATTATGGAATTTTACAAATTTTATAGGAAAATGAATATTAGAAATCATTACTTTTTAGAAAAACTTTTTTTTAGAAATCAAAACTTGTTAGAAAAACGTTTTTTAGAAAACAGATTTTATTAGAAATCGCTTTTTTAGACAAAAAGGATTAGAAAATATTTTTTAGAAAAAGTGACCACCTACCTTGTCAGAGAACTTTTTCGAAAATTAATTGACTTAAAGAAGAATTTCAGTTAGGAATTCTTGAAAATAATAATTGAATTGAAATGATGAAAATAATTTTAAAAGAAGTACAATATTCTTATAATATAAAATAATGATTTTGTTCCGTAAAGTCCGTATTTTTAAATACTTTCATTGGTTCGAGTCCTGCTTTTGTTTCATGAAGCAGAAACTAACACCCACTTAATTTTGAAAATTAAATTTTAATGTTAATTTTATTTGTTTAAAACCAACATAAAAGTTCGGAAAAATTAAGTACCTTTCCATACATTGTATAATTTTCCTTTTCTCTTTTAAGAGATTTTATTTTATACTCGTACAGTGAAAATTTATTAGTTTATTCAACCCAACAAATCAGTATAGTTGGTAACAAATTGTTCGATAATTAAAATTTTATTATTTGCTTTGTTGGTTCGTAAAACGCACACCCACACGCAATATTGTTTAGTAATTCTGCGCACCGAATATGATCCACTATTCTCTCCCTCTCTTTGACGCTAACCATCCATATATAATAGTTTATGTCGAAAATAGGCGCACGTCATATCTATACCTATGTGCTCTGTGATAATCTGCCAAACGCTAACCACGTGTCAGCCTCGATGATGTCTGTCCCACCAGTCAACGTTTTATTGATGCTTTCAAAACTCTCGTAAATCTCGACTCTACATCATCCACCGATTTTATTACACCTAACGATATCTGTTCTTCTTTCTTTTTTTTATATACAATTTTTTTTTACTCGAAAATATCTATCGATAATAGATGTAGAGTATGGATTTTTTCTGTGTGTATAGTAAAATATGATCCTTGAGGAACATTAAACATTAATGTTAATATTAATAATATGGTATTAATCATATTTTTTTTATGGTTTCTTCGG